CCCCAAAACCCCAAAACCCCAAAACCCCAAAACCCCAAAATTTAATCAAAGTATTGAAAACAAGAGATTATTTACTTCTCAATTCTTTTATTGCTCCTTCAATGGCCTTCGCAGACAATACAGATTTGCACATCGGGCAGCTGGGCTGGGTCAAGACCCACTCAGAGATGCAAGGATAGTGGAATATATGCTTCTTATTACACGGGAGAAATATTGCATCAGGATCATCCTGGAAATTTTCAAGGCAAATTCAACATATATCTTGATTTTTGTCTAATTCTGCATCCTTTAGTTGCAAAAATTTCAATTTTGTGATTATTTTCGTAATCAGCCTTGGACTCAGCCTCATCTTGGACAGGGCTCTCATCTCAGGATTTAACCTATGGGTTGCAGCTAGGATTATTAGATAGGAGAACAAGAAGATCTTCATGACGAGCTCCATTACACATTGAGCTAGTACTAATAAGGACGCTACGAATAGCAAAGACCCTTTCTTCATGCAATCTGGCTTTGATATCCAAAATAAGATAATAAATAAAGTACACCATAAGAACATTAGGAAGAACTTCAGGATCGCGAAAATTTTGTACGCTCAGAGGAGATAGGCCGACCTTTTACTGAATATTAGCAGAGGAAACCTGATAATATTGAAGCAGAAAAGTCTCAGCATTATTTCACTAAAGACAAGGGCTTTCAAGGAAGTCCCTCAATCTTTTCCAGAGTTGAGAATGTAGAGGGCTAAAACTGGTGTGAGGTACACCGTCTCATAGATTGCTCTAAACACGGCTGCACTTAAGAAAGCACGTCTCTCACTTTCAGATCTTTGCTGCTGGTAGTATAAATAGTAATGATCTTGCTCGGGTTGGCCGTTGCCGATATTTTGGCGAAGCAATAAGTCATTATGAACAGAAATGTTTTGCTCTTGTAATGGACCTTCACTTTCAACAAGGGGTTCTTCAGGGGGTTCATCAGGGTTCCTCTCCTTGGCTTCCTCTACCATAACACTGTTATAAGCCCGATGCTGCTCTGTGAGTTCTAGGTGTCCTGCACGGCTTGCATGGGTGCCTAATTGTAAGCTGAGCTCCATATTGTTTTTGTCTATTTCTATATAAATATGTTCGTAAGGGGTTTTGGGGTTTTGGGGTTTTGGGG